TTTCAAATGGGTCACTTAAAAATTAATGATTGATGGTGAAAACGGGTGATGATCACATTATTTCCTCTAGTAACTTTACCTGGTAGGTAATACAATCTGTACCGTTCTAACACTATTAATAAACAAAACTCAATATGTATCGTTCGTACTAATTTGAGAGCGAAATATTCCGCCACATTTGTTCGGATACACATTATTTCAGTTCGAGACGTCGTCGTCGGTTCGGTTCCGATAATTGCGCGGTTTCGCAGCGGATTTAGCTCGGATGTGATTTGAGGGGGGCAGACGAGCGTTTATTTTAAAATGGTTAACCGCTCTAGCAATATTTTGTGAGTATCTTTTTCTGCGTCATCGTAGCTCCTGAAAGCTTTGACAATTTTTAATCGGTTCCCTACATGGATCGATTTCGAGTTTGTATTTTTTGTTCAAAAAGTGGCCAGAGTTACAAGCATTTTCCCGGGACTTATCTTGCGTGAATTTTGGGCTCTGAAAGTTCTGAAAAAAGACAGGGATGAAAACAATCCTTTATTTTCAGTTCTGTGGTTTAAGCGAGAAAGAGTAACGAGTATCCACTGGGGTGTGTATCAAATCAAAAGAACGATACTAGGATATCAACAAAGCTAAAAAAAAACTCGTATTAGAATAAAATAAAGACAGCGATGTGAAGTAAGTTTGTACACATTTTTTAATTCTACAGAACTCTGACCTTTTTTAACGTCGGGAAATGCTTTGGCTATGTGGGAGTCTCCAAGTTGTCCAGATCTATCCATTAATCGCTCGTCTGCAACCCGCAGAAACCGTAAAAGTAAACGTCTGACAAATGACGCCGCGACGACCGAACGCATCGATCACAATTATTAGCGCCTCGCTTCTGTCCGAGTCCGAATGCTCGGACACGTGGCAAGGGGTTCAGTTACACTAAACAATGAAAAAAAGTGTTTACTAGGATTTAAAACTTGATATTAAATAGGTACGTCCCCAAACAACTGCACTCAGAAAGATTTTATGAATGCGACTGATAACGCCACTCTAGTAGCGGAGTTTTGGGCTGATACTGTATAGGTTTGTAGTTGACACGACTGGAAGAAGAAGAAACTTGATACACCAACTGCCGCAGGTAAGAAGGAGGCTTTTGTTTGCCGAGTAACTGCTCTGATTACTGAGCTACAGAGTAACCTAGATGAGGCACAATAATCGAGGCTAAGTTTTCTAGACGGTATATTAACCGCCCGTCTGCAACCCGCAGAAACTGTAAAAGTAAACGTCTGACAAATGACGCCACGACGACCGAACGCATCGATCACAATTAGCGCCTCGCTGCCGTCCGAGACCAGTTCGGAGTCCGGACGCACGGACACGTGGTAAGGGGTTTCAGTTAAACTGAATAAAAGATAAAAATAAATTCAGCAAAAAAAATAAGGGGGGAAACAAACTTTTAAGATAAGGCTACAACTTTCGCTTCTCAGGTGACTGCTTAATCACCAAACTACGGATACATTGGTCAATCTGACGATATTTTCAGCTGTGAAAATAGAAGCCTTCTAAAATAGTTTTGTAAATTTTTAACTTTCTATTATTTTGATTTCCATATAACCTGATGATGAACTACGAGCACATGTACCTTTGCTATGAACCTTTATTTACTCAAGTTCTTCAAATATAAATACAGACCCAAGAATAAATTTATTTCAAGACTTGATTGGTTATATTAAAATTCTGCCAAATAATACATTTAATTTACACTCAAGTTTGAAACAAGCTTTTAAAGTCGTTTCAGAGTACGTCCACCAAGACACAAATCCCAAACTATGTTATGTTCCCTTTTATTTTACTATGTCTTCTAAACCTTAATTATTTTCATCATTTCAGCCACTGCAGGACGTCTAGCTGAACTTTGCCTAAATATTTTTTTGTCAATTACTGTAGTGTCATATAAAAATACATGACGTGTCTACAGTCATGATTATTGGTATGATTTATGAATCAGTTTACCGAAAATCCGATCATTTCCTGAATCCGTATCGGCCGTCAAACTTCTCCCGCATAATTTCCTGGAGTGTAGGACGAACTCACCTGTCAGAGCATCGGGAAATGAATAGGAACGCGATTTATTTGTAAACCTATACTTATACTGGAGGACTAAGAGCTCTTCCCACGGATATATCCCGTTTGTTGGAGGATCCCGTTTAATATTTTAATATTAACATTCACATAAAAACCGCAAAAAAGCCGATCCGTTCGAATTTAGAATTCTAATTTCCTTTTCTCACGGTAATCCAGTTTTTCAGATCCAGTTCACATCCCGCAAACTGGACTCTTGAGTGAACACAGAAGTATGACTGTGTATAAAATGGTATCCTTCCGTTTGGCCAAATTATTTTTCGCCAAAAATTATCTGGACGCAGGCCGCAAGCACAGAATAAGTAATAGTACAGGTACAGAAGGATTACTCCGCACGACGATTTAAATAAATGCGAGTCTTGCTGCGACGCGATACAGTGGAATTCAGCTCGCACAGCACTACGTACCTATAATTTTATTCACCTACAAGTTTTGTCTCTTTCTATCGCGTGCCTCTGAACTCTTCTTACGCTGTTAGGGTTGCTGTCTAGTGAAAAAATAATTAATCTACTTATTTGTAATGAGGTACGTATGTAGGTAAGTAAAAATAACATTTCAAATATACCTAATTAGGATTAAAAAAACTTGTTCTATTACAATGTCTTCATTCATACCTACCTATTTTAACATAAGACAGATAAATTAAACATACTATTACAGAAAAATAAAGAATCCTAACTATCCTAAGAATTTTATTATTGATTACCTACATGGCCAACATACCTTTCAGCATCTTTGGGAAGCGAAAAAAAAAGATAAATCCGGTAATTTCACAGAATAAGTAATAGTACAGGTACAGAAGGATTACTCCGCAAGACGATTTAAATAAATGCGAGTCTTGCTACGACGCGATACAGTGGAATTCAGCTCGCACAGCACTACGTACCTACAATTTTATTCACCTACAAGTTTTGTCTCTTTCTATCGCGTGCCTCTGAACTTTTCTTACGCTGTTAGGGTTGCTGTCTAGTGAAAAAATATTAAACTACTTATTTGTAATGAGGTACGTATGTAGGTAAGTATGCATTCATTATGGAAAACCTTGGGAGAGGCCTTTGTCCAGTAGTGACGCATTCTGAGCAGTAGTCATAGTAGGTTAGGTTCCTATACTATCCTAGTAATTATTGATTACCCACTTGGCCAACATACCTTTCAGCATCTTTGGGAAGCGAAAAAAAAGATGAATCCGGTAGATTACTTTTCGAATTTAAACACCCGAACGCCGCACAATATTTTTTTCTCTTTATGTCCATTTTTAAATAATACTTCGATCATAGAATTATAATCTTACTACAACGCACGCCAGTGTCCTGACGAGCGCGCGCGTGACACTCGACTGATATAATACCCGCCGGCGGGGCGCTTCGCTGTAGGTAATTATCGGATGTACCGCGCGGAGTGAGCCAGGCCTGCCGCAAGGTACCAATCAATCAACGTGGAATGCATTATGTTCAGCAGTGGACGTCCCATGGCTGAAATGATGATGACGATGATGATTATTTGAAACTATTAGCAGATACACACACATTACTAAACTCTAAAACAAAATTATCAGCAATTTTGGCCAAGTAGTTGAGGCATAAAAGTTGTGAAGACAAAACTTAGGTATATTTTTTTATTATATTCGCTTATTACTAAAATTACCTTAACTAAACACAGTACCCACTAAATCCTTTTCAAAAACATCCAAGCTAAATATGGCTTTACCTCGTTCACCAGTCCGTGGCTAATTACCTTTCAGGCAATCAATCTTGCGAACTCGCAACAAATTGTCATTGTGACCTCTCTGACGGGCTGATGCGTCAACGGATTTATAATAAACCCTCATTAAACGCAAAATGTGGAACAATAATGTGGAATGGCACGGATTTTTGACCAATATTAATATAGGTTGTGGTTTTAAAATGAACAAAAGAGGGCTTTGATTTTATATAAAAAAGGACGTTTTTGCTTGAAAATTTAGATTTTTTTATTGTCATTAATGTGACCTCTCTTGTGAGGGCTGATGCGTCAACGGATTACCTATAATAAGCCCTCATTGAGTGCAAAATGTGGAACAATAATGTGGAATGGCACGGATTTTTGACCTTTGTTAATATCGGTTGAAATAAAATGGGTTAATAAATGAAAAAAAGAGGGCATTAATTTTATGTAAAAAGGGCGTTTTTACTACATTTTTTTATGCTAGACAAGGCAGGTATTTGACCGCAATCGCACCTGGTGTTAAGTGAGATGCAGTCCAGGATGGTACATACTATCTGCCCTGTAATCATCATCATCATCATTTCAGCCACAGGACGTCCGCTGCTGAACATAGGCCTCCCCTAATGACTTCCAAATCGCAAGGTTGATAGCGGCCTGCATCCAGCGTCTTCCTTACGTTCCTTCTTTCAGCGATTTTACTAATGGGGACTTTTATATTATGGGACCGTTATTGATAGAATCTTGGTGTAACATTTGGTTTAGATTAGGCACTTTACTATCTCAAAAATGCTAATAAAATATCACAAGATAACTGCCTTTAATCCCATCTGCCCTATTTGAGCTTGCCACCGGGGAGGTGGTTAGAACCAAATAGATGGCGTCTATATTCTTTTCAATACGTTTTAAAACGAACTATGATCCTTCATTGCTTTTAAACAAAACTGGGAATGTGTTGAAGTATTTTTATTAACCGAAGCAATTTTTAAATCACTCATCGTCTACATACTTGTCCTAATTTACAAGAGTACCTAATTTAGATTATAGTTTAAGGTTTACGTAGACTTTGACATAAATATCTGATAATCTATCTATCATTATCACTACTAACGATATTAAAGAAAATACCAAATTCAACGATAATCCGAGTTTATCAAAAGGCAAAACAGATAACATTACGCTAGCTGATAAAAAATTAGTAGCAAACGTTCTTCTTGCTTTAATTAGTTTAGTACAAATTAAGTAAAATGTTACTCAAATTTTTAATTTTAAGTATAGTGGTGATCGTTAGTGCAGAGAAAGTAAGATATGATAACTACGCGTTGTACAAAGTTGAACCTAAAAATGAAGATCAGGTGAAGTTCCTAAAAGAACTGGAGAAGAATGAAGACCTTGACTTCTGGAAGTCGGTGAATCAAGCAGGAGACTATGCCAGTATAGTGGCTCCTCCAGAAATGAGGAAGAAGTTCGAGCATTCATTGAAGAAACGCAGCATTTACAGTGAAATGGTGTTGGATAATATTCAAGAGTAAGCAATTGTTCATATTCCAAATTTTATTAAAATCTGATTTATAATGAATTTAGCCGTTAATTTTATTAGTGTGGATTAGAAAAGTGTCAGATTAATGAAAGTGGCCGATACCCACAAAATAATTAGATTATATTGAACCAACTTTTTCTGTAATTACTTTTTTATTTTGATTAGCCACTCACGAGATGGTGCTGCATTTACCAAGTCAAGTTAAGAGTTTTTGCGAAGACAGTACCTATAGATTCTTATTATTGCAGATTTTATGTAAATGACCTCCTTTGTAAGTGATTTGCGCTTGACGCAGGCCGCTACCAATCGATCGACATGGAAAACATTGGGGGAGGCCTATGTTCAGCAGTGGACATCCTATGGCTGAAATGATGATAATGATGATGTGTATTTTATTGGCAATTTTCAGAGCCTTCGATGCCCAGTTATACAGTCGTAAAAGAAGGAGCGCTGAGCCAGAACTATTTTGGACAAACTATCAAACTATTGATGATATCTATGAATGGTTTGAGCACTTGGCGCAGACACAAAGTAATATTGTCTCCTTGATCACCGTTGGAAGATCTTTTGAAGGTAGGTAAACAAACATGTTTTGAGACACTTAATAACTAGTGTAATAACTAGTGTTACAGTATTTACTATCGAGGCGGAACGATAGGGAAAGGAATCGAAAGCTAAACATGAAAAGTTCCATTGTAAAAATCTCATTGTCAATGTTTTACAATTTTGTAGATAGAAGTAGATACATGTTGCCCACTCTAGGAAGAATGCCTAATGCATAGTGTTTTTATACCCTTCAGTGTGTCAACCTCATCATCTGTCCATAACAGCTGGACTGCTGGACATAAGCCTCTTCCAATACGCACAATTTGACTCAATTGTCAGCATAATCCTAGGAAGCGTTCTTTCGCTAACCGTCACTCTAGCTGAAGGGCGTCATTTCAATGTACCTTAGACTAATAGGATTGTATCATGGAATTAGAGTAAACTATGATAATTTCCATTCTGTCATCCATTCCAGGTAGAAACATAACCGGCATCAAAATATCCAGGGGCAACAGCGACCGCAACTTCGTCATCGAAGGTGGTCAGATTGGAGCCGACTGGTTGTCGCCCACCGTCATCACGTACATCGTAGATCAGCTGGTCAGAGGAGAAGACCCTGAAGCATTGCAGGCATCTCAGGACTTTACTTGGCACATCTTCCCGATTGTGAATCCAGATGGACACCAGTTTAGTCAGGACTCTGTAAGTATATTTATTATTAATACGAGTATTCATACTGTATCAACGGCCTGATATAATATTATATCGTTTCATCCACGAAGACGCACCCCACCAGTTTTTGGTCTAGGAAGCGCGGGGTGCGGGGAGTTTGATCCGAGAAATCCAAGCGTCATTATTGTAGTGTACGTGTGCACTCGTGAATAATTTAGCGTGTACCGATAACACTCAAACATTAGCGAAAGAATAATGGTGGGGCGCGTCTTCGTGGATGAAACTATATTATATATAGTGCTTGTCTGATTGAGCTTCTTGCACACGTTTACGGTAGTTCATTCATGGCATCTCACCAAGATTCTACCCTCAGTTGTTTGAATCAACATGAATATTTTGTGTTTTGTCTGTTAAACCGTTATTTGTGTTGAATTTCGAAAAGTGAATAAAGTTACTTTTACTTACCATTTAAATAATATTTCAGGTCAGACTTTGGACCAAAAATAGAACACCAACCGTATTATCTAATGCTGCTATTGGCGTTGATCTCTCAAGGAACTGGAACTCTCATTGGGGAGGTATGTATTTACGGCCGTATTCACAAACTATATTTGCTTATGTGAAGCAGCAAATCGAACGCACAGCGTTGAATAGAGCTCTGTGATTGGTTTGTGTGTGACCCTGTACGTCCACGCGCACTGTGAGGCGTTATTAAGCTTCCAAATACTTACCAAAGACTACATAGATAAGATTAGAAGTTTAAAAAATGTATTAAACGAAGTCCAATAATGATGGAATATGAATTTGAGTTCATGTAGCTTTAAGCGTTACAAAAGTACTTAAGCCAAAATTTAGAGTCTTAAATTGAAGTGTCTGGACACAAATATTCCTATATTTTTGGGTTTTGGCATGAGAAATGTAATGACCAGTCTATGAGTAAATAAAAAGTCCGAATATGTATAATTATTATTAATATTTTTATCTAATTGTTCTTTTTTTTTTCAGTACAAGGCGGCAGTTTCACTCCATCAGCCAACAACTACGTCGGTCTTGGTCCGTTTTCCGAAGTAGAAACCAGACAAATGGCTCGATACCTTGACTCAATTGGCGGGAGCACCACTGGCTTCTTGTCCTTGAGAAGTTTTGGGCAGAGACTGCTGATACCCTTCGCGCACTCTGCGACACCTTTGTACAACTTTAATGAGATGGTGAGCTAAAGTAACAAATACGTAGGTTAATTTGACCCTTTACTTATATGGCAGTGGGAATATAGTTTCCACCATATTTTAAACTTTATTCCCTTGTGTTAAGGCCCATAAACAATGAAAAATTGGGACTTGTTTTTATAATGCCGATTACTTCAAAAATCCTTTTCTTCTGTTGCTCTCTACAGAAACTGCAAAGCAAGTAAAGTAACATTATGCATTATCTTTTTTCAGGTCACCATTGGCAGAAGAGCTATGGGTTCACTAGCCGTCAAGTACGGAACCCAATATTTAGTTGGGACCTCTTTACAATTTTCTGGTAAGATGAAAGTTCATCCATCTTTTGACTCGCTCGCCTTACTTAATTAATGAAATTGCCTCTTTTTATTTAAGTAAATCTTGTTCATAATCAGGTCATTAGTTAGTCTCCACTGTAGGAGCGCGACTCTCTCTGATTTAGCAAAGGAAAGGTAGCAGGAAGGCGCTGGATGCAGGTCGCTACCAACCGGGCGATATGGAATCATTGAGGGAAGATCCCATGAGGTTTTAGTGGGTTGGCCCCGCCGGGGAGAGTCCCACATAACCCCTGGCTGCCCCCGCGGTCTGGGGTATGCGCAAAGCATTTCCTCATGTTAAAAAAAAGGCTTATGTCCTGTGGCTGAAAATGATGATGATGATGATGAAACACTTCCCATGCTTTGGTAGGTTAGTTTTGTTAGGTTAGTACGTTAGGTTGGAGAGACCAGACCTTCACATAAAAGTCCCTTAGCTCTTACGTCTTCTACATTAAGAGCAGGGGTTCTATTCTACTCTGCCGTAACCACATGGCACATTTATTAATTTCCTTTTTTCCAGATGGCTCCACCGGTACCTCAGCTGACTGGATCAAATTCCGCTTCAACCCTCCTATCGTAGCCACTTACTTGCTGAGGGACCAAGGAGGTTGGGGCTACACCCTCCCTGTAGCGCAAGTCCTCCCCAGCTGTGAGGAGACATATGACTCAGTTATGGCCATCCTGAGAGAAGCCAGGTTTATCAATGTAATTTAATTTGGGAAATAAATGTGGTATATCGTATTGGTTGGTTTAATTTATATTATTTAACTTGTCTGTTTTGACTTGAGGATATCAAAGTCAATAATCATTACGTCTTTAATTGTAATCTATTCTTTACTTAACAAACATTACAAGAGTTTAAGTAAAGAAATAAAGTTTTATCGTTCAGGTTTGATGATTACTATCTTGAGTGCAGTTTTGAATCTATCTTTATGTAAGTACATTCCCCATAGTACAAGCTTTGCTAAGTTTGGGACTAGAGGCGCAGTGCAAAATGTCCAAAGATATTTTATTTGTTTACTCATACTTATGTGTGGTTTTATTTACACGGGCCCAATAATTGTAGCACATAAGAATTATACAACATACTACACTAACTAAGCAATACCGATAGAAGAAATACTCGTATTTGCTTCAAAATATTTCCAATGAAACAACAACTAAAGTATCAATAAAGTTCACGTCGTAAAGATAACACGTTATGATGCCGATAAATTTTATGGTTCAAATTATATAAGTTTATACGGGTCACTTCATAAAATTATTCTTGAAAACAAAAGATGTGCCAAATTATGACATTGGAGAATTTGCATCTATGACATCAATGGAATTATATTGTTATTTTAAAAGTTGAAGCCACGATAAAATCCAACAGTGAAGGTGTCGAGCTAACCGATTCGTGATCCGAGGATCGCTGGTTCGAACTCCGCCGGCGTAACACAAGCATAATACAAAATAAAGTTAGCCACAAGGAATTAAAAGAGCTATGTATATGATTTGTATTGCTATATGATTTGACCTACTGGTACACAAAATATTTTAAGAATTTAAAACGTTGTCTTCTTTTTATCGAATGGGTCATAAAAGCAAGGGTCACACTACAGTTGTCTAACTTTATGAGCCATCACATTATAAGTCTCTGACATGTCTCATCCCGAATAACAGAAAATCACTTTATGAACCTTGGAAGAAAACATTGAAAAAAGATAATACGAGTAGGTATCAAATTGTCTATCACAGCGGCATCTAATAACGCCATTAAATTTGGTTATAAAAACTATAAACTTTATGGACACTAATCTATAAGTTTATTATTAACTATATTAATGTACTTTATACATTGTTGAGAATGACCACATGAAAAGGGAAATTTAAAACCATTTAACTGTAGTTCTCGTTTGCATCAACACGTCAAATATTTCAAAATGTTAAAACCATTACTTTGTATTTGTTTAGTCAGTGTAACTTTAGCAAAAGTTCGTTTCGACAATTACAGTTTGTACAAAGTTTTACCGAAAAATGCGACCCAAATAACGTGGCTTGAAGAATTAGAAAATGCTGACGATAAGTTTGACTTCTGGAGTGAGGTGTACCCACACGTTGAATATGTTTCGATATTATCAAGTCCGGAAAATAAAGCTTATTTAGAAAATTACTTGAAAATGCATGAAGTAAGCTTTGAAGTTACTTTGCCAAATATTCAAGAGTAAGTATCTAAGGTATAAGTATTTTAGATAACGGGCATTGCCCAAGTGGTAAAAACTCAGAGGTCATTTTGTAAGTGCCTATTAATTAAACTATGAACATAACGACAATTCAACGATTCACGAAATCTGGAAGAGATTATGTAAAGAGTTAAGGTGGAATTCTTTAAGTATGATTAGGGTAATAACTTATCTTATTCTATAAAACTATCCGTAGCAAGCTAACTTTGGAAGCTTGCTCAAGCCGCTATTAGAACAAAACCTTTCAATAATCTTAAATAATTTTATTGTATAATATTACAGAGTTATCGACAACGAAAAACACAAAAAGCATGACCTGGGACGCTTATTACGAACTAGATGATATTTATGCTTGGATTGATGATTTAGTTGCAACATACCCAACTGTAGCTAGCACGATAGAAGGAGGAACTTCGCATGAAGGTAGAACGATTAAAGGCATAAAAATTTCCCATGGATCAGGCAAAAAAATCATATTTATTGAGAGCGGTATACATGCACGAGAGTGGATTACACCAGCTGTGACCAACTATATTATCAATGAGCTTTTATCCAGCACTGATGAAGAGACGCAAGCAGCAGCGCGTGACTTTGATTGGTATATCTTTCCTGTTACAAATCCTGATGGCTATATTTGGACTCATACAGAAGTAAGTATCACATGTTAAGTATAGGCACAGAATTAGGGTTTTCATAGTTTTTTGAGTTGTCGGAGGGCTTTTTTTTCATCGAGTAAGTACCTACTATCTAAAGTACGTAACTAAACTCAGTGTTGCAAATGAAGATAAGTGATCAGAATTAAAAAGTTCTCCCATTTAAAGAAATCTTAAAAAGGCTTTACGTCCATTTCGTCCAAATACTTGTAGATTGCTTGCTATATTGTTTTAAGCCAATCCGAGAATGGCCATTCAATAAAGTAACCTTTTATTTTTTCAGTTCCGACTGTGGCGTAAAAACCGACGTCCATTTGGTGACGAAGTCGGTGTTGATCTAAACAGAAACTGGAACAACAACTGGCTTGGTATCTACTTCTTTATATCCATCAAATACATTGACATTTTCTATAATTTCCACGAATCAAAATAAAATGTCCTGTTTTCAGGTGTGGGTTCAAGCAATGTAACATCATCCAACACATACGCTGGTCCAGGACCATTTTCTGAAGCAGAAACAAGAACTTTATCGGAATACATCAGCTCGCTAGCTGATGATATAGAATTGTATCTTTCTATGCATTCCTCTGGTCAACTTCTTTTGCTGCCTTTTGGGAACACAACTGAGCCGTTGGCGAATTACTACGATGCGGTAATTTTTTTAAGCAAAGACGAAGGAATATTACCTTATGTTAGTTAGGTACATAATACAGAAGTATAACTTGTATGATTTCAGATGAAAATTGGAAGGCGAGCAATGGGTGCACTATCTGTTCGCTATGGAACTCCTTACACGACGGGAAACATTGCTGAAGCTATTTGTAAGTGATAAGAACTTCACTATAATCGTATGAACGACGCCCAAAATTCGATTCAGACAACACAGACCTGAGACTGAATCTATTCCTTCATTAAAATTTAGATTGTAACTAGCCATCAATTAACGCCAAACATTTAATAGGTACTTATCTTTTTGAGAATATTCCACTATTGCACTGCAAAGTCTTGCTCTCACTGTTCAACATGATTTTGAAGATTTTGGGGGCCTACATAGATAAGTATACTAGTAAGAGCTCAATGAAAAATTCTTAATTTTTTAGATCTTGCCACCGGCACCAGCATTGACTGGGTCAAGGAAGCCCTCAAGATTCCACTAGTCTACTGCTACGAACTCCGGGACCGCGGTACTTATGGACACCTTCTGCCGGCAGACCAGATCTTGCCGAGTGGCGAAGAGACCATGGATTCAATCCTGGAAATGATCCACCAAGCACGAAGGCTGGACTACATGAACAGTGGAAGTGGTCTACACGCATCTTTGTTGACGATAGCATTTGTTTTTGTGAACTATGTTATGTTTTAAATAGAAAAATGTTTCAGAATAAGTAAATGTTTTGCATGCATTTAATGTTTTTTACTTGCTATCCTTTTAAGAGCGTTGTAGCAAAAAATTGGCGTTCGAATTTTAGGTTTTTATTGCTTGACGTCGCGTAGTGAGTGCGCAAACTGCATTTATCTGTACAATTTCAACGCTGCGTCGACTAAACGATCTTAATCCGTAGTTGTATCGTACCTAAGACAGTACATCATACATAATAATAAAGAAATATTGTATAATTTACCTATTTGATTTTTTTCTCAGATCAGACTTTTAGAAAAATCAAGTTACGTAATTAATGTATTTTTTACACTAGTAAATCCCGCTTCAAGTTTTTAATCTTTAAATTGAGTAAAGTAATATGTTGATGGGTTTGAAAGAATTTATGTTTTATTTTATTCTTTTTACAGCATCAAAAGCTTGTTTATGAAAAATATATACTATTTAAATTTTACTTTTGACTTTTTAGTTTTTATGATGCGGGATAGAAAAATTAAAATTTATTCTGATTTTGTTTTTAAACAGTTATCCCATTAGATACACATGCGTTCTGCCATACAAACCCATCAAAAACAATACTTGTCAAAAAACCAAGTCTCACTACTCAGTTGTTCTACGGTAAAAAGTTGTGAGATCCATATAATACCAAGTCCAGTCACGTGTAAATTAAATTATTTAGTGCGAAATGAAACGAAATTTTGCATGCCTGTGTAGACATGCAAAATTTCAGCTCAATGGGAAAACGGGAAGTAAGTAAATTTTAAGTTGCAAGATTTTACAACTCCAGTTGTCAAAGAAAATAAAAGCTTGTAGATAGCTTTACAAAGGAAAGAAAGATTTATGAAGAAAATAAAAAGTACTGTCTACGATACATTTGTTAGGCCGTGTTGCACAGTCTTATTTTAACATTGACATCAAAATTTTGGATGTCAAAAATCTGTCTAACATAAAACACCGGTTATTGTCAGTTAGGGTCAAAGTTAGGTGGTGCATCTCAGCCTTAGTGTATTTTAATTAAATTTAATACAAATAAGGATGACGAAAATAATCGATAAGTGATCTCACTCGAATATTTCTTATAGTAGGTATACAAGATGTCGAACAAATGGTTACTTACTGAAAAAGTGCTTCATGAGACCTAGCAAACGGCATCAATAATATGTTTAAGAACGAACTGAATCTATTCAAAAAACCTATATTTCCAGCTTTCATACATTTAATACAGTTACAAACAAACACGAAATCAATGGTTTCTGAGAATTCTGAGTGCCTTAATGCCGTCCCCTTTATCTGTTTATTTAGTATTTATTAATTAGTATCTCTTGATGATATTGTAGCAAGTTAAACCTAAAATCATGTTTTCCGTAAATAATTTAAATAAGAATGCAATTTACGAGTTTGTTGTTTGATTATTATATATTACTCAATTAAAAATTTAAATTTAAAAAATTAACACTTCTAATATGGTAGGTATGGCTGGCGGCATACATTTAGTATGAAATTCGGAAACATTGAATTTTCGCATAGATCCAGTTTATTCTTTGACCTATTTATTGTTATTGTTTTAAAGAGCTCATGAAGCACTTACAGGAACAGTAAACAGTTTCTCGATATCTTGTATAATTAAAAATCAAGTGAAATCACTTATCGTTTCCACCCTGTACCTATACTTTTAAAAATAAACTCATTTTATACGTTCATTTGTATAAGTATCTACAATACAAATACCTAACCAACTTAGTTGACGTTTTATAAAACTATTTGTCTAAGTGTCATCGAGCGACCGCTGGTGGATTTGCCATTTACCTGACCTACCCCTTTATTACTAAACGTTTAATATCAGATGAATAGTTACGCACCAATTTCTTTCATTCAGTCGTCAGTAATTGAACTTTCGGAAAAACATGACGAAGCGTTGTGTGACCATACAGACGCTATTCAACTTTTATTAGTAAGGAAGAGTATATTTTATGTTGGTAGAAACACAATAGCATAGACTAATGTTTTGACACCCTGTTAAAATTTTTATTAGTCATTTATTTTTTCCTGACCAAACAGATACCATAATAATATCTTTTATCTATTCTACCCATATTCTGTAAGTAAAATAATAAAAAGTTTGAAAAGAAAGAAATTACAAGTCCGATTTACCTAAACAAATAAATTAAAAATACTTGCGGATCAAAAGTACTCAATCATACTACAATTTACGAAAAAATCACGCGTGACGCATATACGTCAGTGGGCAGTCAACTGACATAGACCCGGCGTCTACGAGTGCCAAAGCACGACTGATTTATGCCATTTGATGCACCCGATTTTATAGTATTTTCAAATTAATTTTTCATTTGAAGATTGAAGATAGATATTTTTTCTTTTTCACACAATAATAGTACTATGTTTCTTCTTAAGTATAAAGTAGTTTATGTTGCCAAATGACTTTTAGATTATGAGATGTGACCTGTTTTCTTGCAGTAATTTTCTCGAATTTTGACTATCTTAGACATGATAAAAATGCAATTTAATGAATTAAACATCAAAATTTTCTCAATACACTTTCTTCTTCAGGGTATGCTTATTCTAATGAATACATTCTATCTTCTTACTTAGAAATAAATTTGTTGTAATATTAGTTCAAAGTTGTGCCTTCGCGAGTTACCTGGAAATCGGGCTTTCGAAATTCGCTGTTTTCGTAGGCAAAAATCCAATTTGAACGAGATTTTGTCAATAGACATTCCGTAAAAATGTATGATAATTACGATGATATAAGTCAAAAGAAGCTATAACAATAAATGATATGACTAAAATCATTTCGAAATCTGCCAAATTCTCGATTTCTGCATGAAAAATGTGACAACGCTCTTAAGTCTAGTAGGTACTGTCCAATAAAAATATTCAAAAGGAATCACCAATAGAATGACTATACTTTTCTCCATTATGCAAATACGTGATTGACTTTCACAATGATGAATGAACATGCTAGTTACTTTAACTTAGGGCATTGAATTCAGATAATCATTAATATCAATTATTATTTTAAATTACTAAATCTCGTATTATGAGACTATACGCTTGATTTAATCGTTTAAGTTTCGATTCGTATCATTTGCAAATCATTTTGATGATAAAAGCTACATCCGTAAGTGGAATTTTCCATCACTTAACATTTACTTTTACCGTACTGTCATTAAGGTATTATTATTTATTATGATATTCCATAAACGTTATCGGTTTAATTGCGACATTATAACTGATAAACCAAATTTATTGCTTAATAATTTGATAAATAGATAACATCAGAAGTTGATAATTTGGAACGTCTATTTTATTTTCTATTTATCTTTGATGCCGACAGTAGCAATATTAAATAAGAAATAATTATTAAAAACAATAATTTATAGGATTGGGCTGGCATAAAAGTTACAATGAAGTCTATAATATTAGTAGTATTAGGTCTAGTGTGGTGTGTGTATTGTGAAAAATTTCGTTTTGATAACTACACCTTGTATAAATTATATCCTAAGACTGAAGCACAAATTACTTTACTACAAAATCTTCAAGACAATGAACAACAGTACGATTTCTGGAGTGATCCTGTGCCAAAAGCTGAACATGTTATGGTGTTATCAAGCCCTGAAAATAAAATTTCCCTTGAAAGTATTATGAATGGGAATTCGGTAGGGTTTGAAATCGCCCATGAAAATATACAAGAGTAAGTAACTAATTCATTTTATAATTTAATTTCTGAGCACAATACAATTATTATCACGTTAACTTCTTGTTCTGCACACGAATGGTTAGTTAGATATTGGTGTTGAACTTCATCCAATTTTATGAATTTTTCAGTAAAAGTTTTAAACTACTTAATTTTAAACTGGCATTTCCAATTTTTAGGTTGATAGACCGGCAAACGGTAGCGCCTTTTACTAAAAATGCAAAGATGACATGGGACCAATATCACACCCTTGATAGCATTTATGCATGGCTAGACAGCTTAGTTATCGAATACCCGAACCTAGTATCAGAAATCATTGGAGGAAGTTCATACGAACGTCGTCAAATCAAAGGTGTAAAAATATCTCATGGTAACAACAAAAAGGCAATTTTTATCGAAGGTGGCATACATTCAAGGGAATGGATTTCTCCAGCTACAGTGACTTATATCATCAACGATCTTCTTACTAGTACAGATAAAGAAACACAAGCTGCAGCCAAAGAATTTGATTGGTATATTTTCCCAGTTACAAACCCTGACGGATATGTTTGGTCTCATGAATCAGTAAGTAAAAAAATTTTGATGGCTCGAATTCTCAAACTATTTAATCTCAAACATTATAATATTATCAATATTTTTCAGTTCAGATTGTGGCGCAAAAATAGGCGACCAATTGAGGGAACCACATTTGGAGTAGATTTAAACAGGAATTGGAATAACAACTGGCTAGGTAAGGGTGTCCGAAGAATCGAATAAAGGGAACGAAATATTATTATCGACTGACACTGAATTGTTATTGATACTAGGTGCTTGTGCACTTGGCAATAATGTTTAAACTGTGCTGTTGATGGAAAGTGTACCTACATAATAATGTCATCATCATTACCATTATCAGCTTTTGCCAGTTCACTATAGATTTATCCTAATATAAGCCAATAATGGAGCCCATAAGCAGTTTTGCAAGAATAATCCATTACATTCTGTATAAGATGTCAGTGTTTATTATGATTTTCTATGATGTATCTGTACTTTAAATTTATTTTCAGCTCAGGGAGCTTCAACCAACCCATCTTCAGACAGCTACGCTGGTCCAGGACCTTTTTCTGAGATTGAAACTCGATCTTTGTCGACGTACATAGAGAGTATTGGGGACAAAATTGAACTGTACCTATCGTTCCATTCGTTCAGCCAACTTCTGCTGATTCCTTTTGGAAATACTACGGAACCAGTTGCTAATTATCATGATGCGGTAAGAAAAATTTAATTATATTTTCCATAGTTGTTACACCTATTAGTTTGATCTTCAGGCTTTATGAGTCACCAGAGGCATTATACCATAACGTAATAAGGGAGTTATTATTTATTATCACCAAATCGATAATTTTCTTTTTGGACGAATGGACTTGACCCTGCTTTATCCTTGGATTGTGTACCAAGGTATTATTTTACGATGGGTGGCTTGAAAATAAAAGATTAATGGCCACTTCAAAATAATTATTATGTTATTGTTTTAGCTAAATATTGGCAGACGAGCAATGGGCGCATTATCAGTGAGATATGGAACACAATACGTTACTGGGAACATTGCCGAAGCCATTTGTAAGTTCTTTGTTTTCTAATCGCGACATTATTATGTCGTTTCATTTTTCCTTTGCCTAACATTTTTTACATGGGTGAGGTCCTGCCTCAGATCATAAAAGGGAATAGATGTGAAACGGGGGCGTGGCGCGTGTCTCCGCGATATGCCCAGAAACGAACATCGCCCGCGACGCCAGGTTAGTCGCGATTCAGTCGTACTGAGGAAATGTTCTCCGATATTGTTGGATAATGCGTCGTAACGTGCAATAACGTAAGTGAAACGAAGAACTACAGGAACAATGAAGTCATTTACCACATGTAAGTATTGCAAATCCATTGGTATTTTGCTTATAAATAAAAAAAACTAAACATTTTTACGAACGAATTTAGTGGCGTGACATTTACTGCGATATCGAAATTAGTGGTGATAAAAATTCAAACACGTTGTACATTGACGATTTAGTTAGCAACCACTTTATGTCATACGTAACTACTGCGCAATGTATTTTATTTCTTCCGATATCCACTGACGCGTGAAAATACACAGTACGGCCGCATGTGCCGGTCGTAACATAGTGCAGGGCTCGTGTTCTAATACGGTTTCCTATTATCGATAAATAGAAGTAAATTATTATTTTCTATTTTCTAATTTTGAATGAAAAAATCATGAGTTGCTTGCGATTTTTAAGTTTTTACAAAAACAATAACAATAGTAGAAGGGATTAGTAACTGTCAACTATGTAATTACTATAAGAGCTAGTTGAAAGCCTAATATAGGCATTATTTTTGATAAACATAGGCGGTACGAATTTCGCCATAATTAAAAAGTTAATGCGCGATAGTAGTTAATAATAATTACAGTGATCCTGTTATTATTATTAAAGTAAATAATAATATATTACCAATATTGTAAATACTGGTAAAAATCGCAAGTACCTACTTAACCCATGACTTTTCATACAAACTTTGTCAGTCTATAACTTCTATACTCCATCGATAACGACATTGANAAAAATCGTTAAAGAACATAATAATAACGTATAATAATAAAAAGGTTTTCATTCAAGCATTTTTTAAACCAATTTCGAGGCTTGCCCCCAGGACTTAAAGTATCGATATCTTATCGACTCCATTTTATCTTTCTTCTCTCTAATTGCTTTTTTCAAAGTGTGCGTCACGTCACGCGTCCATTGATTGGCCATAAGACACGCCTTCTGGCCAATCACAGCACTTTTAAGCCGGTTGCACATGTTGTCGTAGACTCTCAGTCGCTTTGTTTTTACACAGTTGAATGTGTGTGTGGGAGCTGTGGTGGGGGAAATGTGGGGACACTGGTTCTCGTTGTAGTTACGCGCGACTTCATATCTATTCTCTTTCTATGATCTGAGGGTCCTGCACTTTGGTGACAAACGTGGTTAAAAACCGCTATGTTACAACTAATTTAATGTGCTTTTCTAGATCTTGCAACTGGTGGAAGTGTAGACTGGGTCAAAGAGCATGTCCAAGTGCCTCTAGTATACTGCTACGAGCTTAGAGACCGTGGAACCTACTCTTTCCTGCTTCCCCCTGAGGAGATCCTGCCAAGTGGACTGGAGACCATGGATTCTTTGGTAGAATTGATCCACCAGGCCAAACGATTCGGGTACATGAACAACGGCACCTCAATCATTGGCGTTTCTATGATGACGATTGTTTTTCTACTGATTGCTATTGTTATTTAATTTTTCCATTGCTATAAAAAAGTAAATAAAAATGTTACCCCAAAGTCCTTAGTGTGTAATTGTATTTTCCTTATTTCATTTTATCCCCGAATGTTGTACAAATAAGTATAGGTAATTATGATTACTTATTTTACTGACAAGTAAATAAATACTGATGAAGCAATGTTGACTGTTGAGTACATAACAATTAATTAATCCTACTTACTTTTCAAACCTACTGATTTACATCCTAAGTTACTCGTAGACGTACGAGTAGGTGTGTACGTTATTGTAATTTGGGAAAAGATTCGTAATTTATCAAATGCAAATAAGTTAATTAATAAATAATCAACCGCACAACAAATAACAAGTCAGACTGTATCATCAAACATGCATTACAAATAAGTTACTATATTACATTTGATATGATAAATAGTAACTTTCATAATAACAAGCCAATGACTATAATTTCATCCTACCGTCTGAATGCTATCAGGGGTTCATACAAACTGAACGTCTATATTTACATACGCAATCATTGCCTTAAGGGGGGCAGTATAAGTAAATAGGCAGTACTTTTGCGATTAAAACTGGGGGAGGCTGTATTGACTGAGCCTGTTGTAAAACACCATGTGAAGATTTAGCCGGCGGCCATTAGGCTATATGAGAGGGCGGTCAGCCAGGACAGGACGGTGGTATGCGTTATAAAGCGGTTAAAGCTAATTTGATATTAAGTTGTTACGTGATTTAGTGAAAACAAGCTGACCAAAATAAGCCTGATTTGCGTCATTATTATTATTGGCATCCTAAATCGCAAGGCTGCACTGGTGTGATCTGTGTGGTTGGCCTCACTATACCCGAGTTTCAAGGCTTGTTGTTCTTCAACGAAGCCGAGCAACTCTACATGTATAGTGACATGAGTAAGAACGGACTAGTCAGTAGTTGCAGTAGTGGTAACTTGGGGTATATACCCCACATGAAGTCCCTGTGAACATAAAGGAATTCAAAGCTTATTTCCGGTGATATAGAGCTACAAGTCTTAATTAGTTACTTACTTTAGTCAATGAAAAAACAAACCACTCGACTTGCCTCTGGTGTAGAGTGGATGACATTTGGGTAGTCCCAAAGCTTAAATGCTTGGCTTACTTAGCACAAATTTTCTTAATGCTGAACAAGACATGTACTTATTTGACCACAATCACACTTGATGTTATGTGAGGATGCTGTCAAGGACGGTAATGAAGATGTTCGGATGATAGTGTTTTGGAAAGACCGCTGGTTAAATAACTAGCTCTTAACAACTAGCAAGTAATGCTTATTACTACATAGAGCCGTCCACGGAACCACGTCTAGCGTTATCGCGATCAACAGCTCTTTGAGCGCGCCCCGGGCCGGTAGGAACTGCGCACGGATTCCTTCGACCTTGCTTGGCGCAATTGTCGAGATGTTAGCTCAGTGCGGCTTTATTAGACTTTTTATAGAAAACAATAGATTTTATTGGGTGCCGTGGCTGAGTTTCTAGCGCTGCTTCTTCTCAGATCTGGCTTATATTAGTATCCTGGAGCAGTGGTTGAGACATGTTAAAGTGCTCTTTGAGAGCCTACTTACAGAAAAAAATAGTTTTATGGTTTTTTTCTTTCAACTACACCAACACATGAAGATCCCCATCGTCAGCGCGGCGTTCAGTCTTCCGCCATCTCTCCCTGTAGGTAGACTATAACTGGTGAGGCTTCTGTTAAGGTGAGTGTATTCTATAGTATAGTGACATTACATAATCAGTAAAATACTAAGTGCCATCAAATCAGAGCTATTTTTTACGATTAATGTAATTTTTTGTGATGTTTTTTGTAATTTTAGTCACAGAACGTCAATTTGCTAAACACAGGCCTCCGAGAAGTAGTAGGTATGATTTAATTATTTTTATCCACATCTTTTTAAGTGAAACTTCATCATTGTAGACTTGGACTCCACGCCATACTTAGGTTCAAGTTACGAGCAATGCGCTACTATACTGGCTGAATTCGCATTCACTGAGGGTTATCATTAACCTCATTGACTTCGATGGTTTCCTCAGTAACCCTGATCAAAATTTGACTCTCTCGGCAAGGTAAAGCAGAAATGCGGTCACGTGTGAGTTGGATACGAGGGTTCCGTCCGTGTCATAATAAAGATATTAACTCTACCTATTTTAAAATTTAATTAAATCTAACGGAAAGAAAAATCCAACTGAAACAACTTTGAAGGGTCCTCCTCCTTTAAATGAGAATCCTATAATGTATTATCCTATTCTTCCTTATAATTTTCACTTTTATAATAAAATTGTTTATAGAGCAGTAAATAGAAATAAATTCTGTCAACATTTCATGAGCTTACCTCTTCTCTCGGTACATAAGATACTGACTGACAGAAAGCGAAGGCTACTTGAAAGGGTTCCTTTACTTAAGAGCGTTTACGCCGTTTGGCGCAAAAACAGTACTTTTTCAACTCGTTACAATTATTAACCAGTAATATTACAAATATGTTATAGGCATAAATAGTTAGACAATTTCGTCGTCTAAATAGTTAATTGAGAAAATATTGCGATTAGTTTAGTATTTAAGAATTCTATCAAGATAAGTCCACACAGGTTTTGTAAATTTCCACTTTAGCGTCAGTTTACAAGCTGAANAGTGGGTGCAACACGGACATTAGACATGATGGGCAGCGCAGGACCGTTCATTGTGGAAAACCTTGGGGGAGGCCTTTGTCCAGCAGTGGACGTCATTTGGCTGAAACGAAACGAAACGAATAAATCTGTAGAGAGGTCAATTCTGTACATGAAATATATTTTCAAAATAACTATCAGGGGGTGATTAGTAGAGATGAAACGGATAGTGGTTTGGCCGGATACCGGATACCGGATATCCGGCGAGCTGCTAGACCGGATAGCCGGATATCCGGCGGCCGGATAGTTGGCCCATTGTCTCGTTGTATGTCATGACGAGTTTAGCGCCGCCAGGTGCTTCGAACGCGATCAGTGGGTCTAGTAGACAAGTCACACTTTTCGAAAATCGAATCCGTATCCGACCGAATAGAATGTCAGATTTTGCTACTTGTCTAGGGGGCAGATCAATTCGAGCGATTTCGGTTGCCATCGTGAGTGTGTGGTTGAATGGGGAAATTTTAAATTAGTTTACTTGCTGCGTAATCCGACTGAACTGCATCATGTCATCAGACCATCAGTGAAAAAAAGATCGCCTATTTTAATTGGCTATATTTCGGACATTAACAAACATTTATTTATTTAATACTAGCTTTCCGCCCGCGGCTTCGCCCACGTGGAATTTTATCTGTCACAGAAAAACTTTATCGCGCGTGTCCCTGTTTCAAAAACCGGGATAATAACTATCCTATCTCCTTTCCCGGGACTCAAACTATCTCTTTGCCAATTTTCATCAAAGTCGGTTCAGTGGTTTAGGTGTGAAAGCAAGACAGACAGACAGAATTACTTTCGCATTTATAATATTAAGTATACCTAGATGTATAGATTCGTCATTAGAGTGAATAGCCCTGAAAAAGAAAAGTTTTTTGAAATGCCTAATATAGCTTTTTTGTATCTTTGTGGACTTTAATTATACGCCGTTATTATTATAAGCCTTTTTATTGATATTTACCTCAAAGATGAATATATTTCATTTTATTATAAGAAATTGTCGTAGTTTTTTAATATCCGGTATCCGGTCGGATAGTGAGTTACTATCCGGTATCCGGCCTACAGGATAGTTACCGGATATCCGTTTCATCTCTAGTGATTAGTGATCGATACTGATGCCAAAAATGCAATCAGTAAAATTTTTGTCTGTCTGTCTGTCTGAATGTTCCTTATAGAAACAAAAGCTACTCGACGGATTTTAACGAAACTTAGTACAATTATTCTTCATACTCCTGGGCAGGTTATAGTATACTTAGGAATTCCCACGGGAACGGGAACTGTATGAAAAATCTAAACCTCTTAAGTTAGACGCTTGAAATTTGGCATGCATTGGTACCTTAGTAAACTTAAAGCTTAGTTACAACAGGATATTGCAAAATTCCCACGGGAACGGGAGTTAGCGGGAAAAAACATTTGTATGAAAAAATCTAAACCGCGTAAGATAGATGAAGGGGGTAAAACGGGATCCACGCGTACGAAGTCGCGGGCGGCCGCTAGTTCCAAATAATCAAGGTGCAACTTAGTAAATAACGCAGAAAGGCGGAGGGATAACCGAGCGAGGAAATCATTGGGGGAGGCCTGTGTTCAGCAGTGGATGTCCTGTAGCTGAAATGATGATGATGAACTAGGACCTAATCACAATTCGACCGTGAATTTATAAAAAAAGCTGTTTTCCTACTTTAAAATTATCACTTCACGGGATTTATTGCAACAATATCTATTTTAACGGTAAATAATATTTACCCTCCCGACGTTTCGGCTCGGTTGCGTATCATCANTTTATAATAAAATTAATCGCATTCTTAATATTTACCCCAAATTACTGTTTGAGTGTAAGAAATGTCTCACTGATTGGCTTTTTACACTCGATTACGTTGAGGTGGAAAATATTTTCGTAAGAATTAGATGAAGTTGAAATTGACACACAACATAACATACTCATCACAACCATGCACATTTGCCTCACATCTACATACATATTTTTATACTCTCGTCACACCCATGCACACTTACCTCACTTGTACATTCACATACATATACTCACATTACACCCATGCATACTTACCTCACATTTACATACATATACTCACAACACACCCATGCACACATACCTCACATTTACATACGTACACACCACACCCATGTACACTTACCTCACATTTACAAACATATTTTATACTCGCATCACACCCATACTCACATACTAACATTTACATACATATGCTCATATCACACCTAAAGACACTTACCTCACATTTACATACATACACATCACACCCATGCACACTTACCTCAATTATAACCTTATGTACTTAACAATGTTATTACCTACTACTAGCAAATCTATCACGTAAATCTAAACTAATTTGTAACTAAGGTGGA